ACACACACAAAGGATTATACAGATACAAAAGACTACCATTTGGGATTAAGGTCGCGCCGGTTATATTCCAACAGAGAATGGATGCTATGCTCGCCGGACTAGAGTACACGATTGCATACCTGGATGACGTATTGATAAATAGCAAAAGTGTTGAACAACACTGGAATCACGTATTAGAGGTGTTCAGGAGAATACAAAGCTATGGGTCTTAAGGTAAAAGAAAACAAGTGCGATTTTTTTTATAAAGGAAATAAAATACCTGGGCCATATGATCGATCAAGAAGAAAGACGACCAGACCCTGAAAGGGCAACGACAATAAAAAAAAAAATGCCAGTTCCAAAAAACATAGCAGAATTACAAAGTTTTCTAGGTTTAGTGAATTATTAGCAGGAATTCATTCCTCACATGCATAAACTTCGCGCATCACTGAACGAACTGCTGAAAAAAGAAAAAGTTTGGGAGTGGACAGATGAATGCCAGAAAACGTTTGACAAATTAATTAGGACGTTAACTTCGGATTTATTTTTGGCACACTACGCCCCAAAATTAGAAATAATAGTAACAAGTGACGCGAGCGCCTATGGAGTCGGGCCGGATGGGACAATAAAACCCATCGCGCATGCTTCAAGAACCCTACTGCGTGCCGAAAAAATCACTCACAAATAGAGAAAGAAGCCCTGGGAATTATTTTCGCCGTCAGAAGATTTCATAGATATATCTATGGTAGATTTTTTACTCTACAGACAGATCACAAACCATTATTAACAATATTCTGTTCGAAGAAAAGTCTACCGGTTTACACTGCCAATAGGTTGCTAAGATGGGGTACAATTCTACTGAATTACAATTTCAGATTGGAGTATCTACCAACGAAAAAATCGGGCATGCAGATGGTCTGTCGAGACTTATACAAACGAAAACTGAGCCATTGGAAGACTCTGTAATCGCAGCCTTACAACATGAAGAAGATATCAGGGCAGTACTATGTTGTACAGTTCGAAACCTCCCCGTCACATTACAAGAGATAAAAAATGAAGCAATATATGATAAATTCATAAAAAAAACAAAAGCAAAAATAGCAGAAAAAAATAAGCAAATATCGGACAGCATTTCTTTATGCGATAATGTGCTACTTTATAACGAAAGAGTAGTAATTCTCAAAACATTACAAAAGCGAATCCTAAAGGATTTCCACATGGGCCATCCAGGGGAAAATAGAATGAAATTGCTAATGCGAAGCTATGTATATTGGCAAAACATGGACCAGGACATTACACAGATGGTGGAAAAATGCAAGGGTTGTTCCTTAGCAGACAAAGCACCGCAAATCATGCATAAGCCATGGCTACTGACAGATCGTCGGTGGTCAAGAATACACGCAGATTATGCAGGTCCAATAGATGGTTTTTACTATTAGAACATAGTGGATAATTATAGTAAATGGCCGGAAGTGTTTCGATGCAATAATCCTACTTCCGAAACTACCATAAATTGCCTCCACGAACTGTTTGCTCGGTTTGGAGTAGTGGATTGTCTAGTCACAGATAATGGGACACCATTTACATCAGCGGACTTCCAAGTATTTTGCGAAATTTTTCAAATCAAACATATCAAATCCCCGCCGTATCACCGAATATCAAATGGTCAAGCGGAGAGATTTGTTGATACACTCAAAAAAGCGTTAAGAAAAGCATTTGATGTGCCTACGGAGAAACAATTTTTATAGGTATATCGAATTACGCCAAATAATGCTACGCCATCGGTATTATCACCCGCAGAAGTGTTCGCCAGAAAAATCAGATCAGTGTTTGATAGGTTGCTACCAAAAAAACAAAACAAAAAAACAAACGAAGCAAATAACACAGTCGTGCGTACTAAAAAGAAAATTCCACCCAGGAGAAAAAGTTTTTTTTAAAGCATATAAAAACAACACATCTTACTGGGAACAAGGTACAATTGAAAAAAGAATCGGGAATATGGTTTACATAGTACAGGGACCCAAATTCTCACATAAAAGACACGTAAACCAAATAATAAAGAGACTGTTAGAGGACTCTAACGGTCCACCTCAGGAAGAAGTGATGGACACGATTTTCGATACATTTGATATACAAAGGCCGCAAACAATGCCAGAACCAAGAAATTCGTCCAGAAAAGGGAAGTTCACAGAACATTTGGTAATAGATCCAAAGAGAAAAAATATTGAAAACCCCTGCTACGCAAAAGCTTCGGAAGCAGGGTGTTATGGGAACTTACCCATAATAATAACGGACTATTCCTGACATAAATACTGCGCCTCTCAAGAGGTATGAGGATATTGTAAGACGAGGAGAGATAATTCAGAGCATATTATAAGGACATTGGAATAGTGAAACTTGTCGAGACAACATAGTTCACTCTAACCAAATCTGATAGTCATTACTAATACTTCTACTTCTTTGTATTATATTTCTGTTGTAATATATATTTGTATTTCATACCTGTGATCGTGATAATCTTTCATTGGTTCTAACCTTGGACCATCACCGTCGTACAAGGAATTTGGGCAATAATATCATCCCATCACCTTCCATATATAAACTAAAATTAATTGAAAAAAAAGACAGTTTCCTAAAAAGAATGAGATGGAAAATCCACCTTTTAAACCAGGACCTTCACAATAACAATACACTCTAGGAAAAACACGGCTTCAAAACAAAAAAAATGCCCTCCTAACAAAAAGAATTAGACTACTTCGTGAAAGACTTAACTGGCCTAGTTAGAAACATAAAATTCCATAATAAACAAGATGCATTTAAAAAAAAAAAAACTAAAAGAAGATATAACTAAAATAAACAATTCAGCAAAAGTATTCATTGCAGCTGACAAAACAAGAAATTCATACAAACTAAACCCTCATCCTACACAAAATAAATTACTCAAGAACAAAATAACCAAAACATACAAAAAGGCACCCAAAACGATAGAACACGATATCAATAAGGAAGCTAAAGCAATAGCCCCAAAAGTAGACCTAGATGACCGAATAAGTTGTATTAGCAAGGCGCAAGCCTTTATCACCCCAAAAGACCATAAAGAAAACTTCAAAACCAACCTTGCATGTAGACTCATAAACCCAGCAAAATAAGTAAAACCATACTACAAATAATTAATTCTGAACTTAGGAAGAATTTAGGAGTGGAAAAACAGAAAAGCAACTATTGATTGGTTCCACAGCATAAATATCAAACAAAATTGCCAATTCCTACAATTAAACATAAAAGAATTTTACCCATCCATAACAGGACGCATGTTAGATAAGGCCATCAACTTAGCTGAGGAACAAATAATAATAAAACCAAACGAAATCGACATCATTAAGCACTCACGAAAATCATTACTATTTCACAATGAAGAAGCATGGATAAAGAAAGATGGGATATTTGACACTACAAAGGAAGCTTTGACAGTGCAGAGACATGCGAAATCATATGTGTTTACTTACTACACGAACTAAGCAAAATAATAGATAGAAATGACACAGGACTCGACAGGGACGACGGTCTCATGATCTTAAGAAACTGTAACAGACAAAACTAGAAAAGCAATAATAAAGATTTTTAAAAATAACAAATTCGACATAGATATAAAAACTAACCTGAACGAAGTAGATTTTCCAAATGTTACCTTCAACCCAAAAAGGGCACATATAACCTTATAGAAAACCCAATGATAAAACACTCTATGTACACACATCTTCCAACCACACGCCTTCTGTAATCAAACAGATACCAAAATCGATTAGCCGCAGGCTTTCCGACAATTCCTCCAATGAATCCATATTCAGCAAAGCTAAGAAAGAATATGAAACAGCCCTAAAAGATATTTTAAACAAATAAACGACTTCCGGTAAATTAACGGACAAAATAGACTACCACTGACACGTATATATATAAATAGCCGACAAAAATAACAGCACTCATAGCCTGACGATTGTATGTTCACTATATATATATATATATATATATATATATATATATATATATATATATATATATATATATATATATACTTACATACATGTATAATGAAAACAAGAAAAGACATATGTATATATCGTATATATGGAAAACAACTGTGGCCTCCTATAAATCCCCAAACTTTAAACTCTCTCTAGAAGAGGAAATATCCAAAATCATCTTCACAGAATGACATACATAACTAAATGAACGATCAGAACTCACCTCAAAAAGCAGACACAGAAACGGTTCTTACTAAGTTGCTTCAAAATCGGAGGCTAAAACTTAATATCTTGAAAAATAGCACCGTGAAATAGTTACTATGTCAACGGTAAACAGCACAGAAAATGTAACGAACAATTAAGAAAAATAAAATAAACAAAAGATATAAATAAATAAATTAACATATTACATAATAAATAAATTAACAAACTAAGAATGTAACATAAATATTTGTTGAGTGTACCATTAACCTTCATGTATTTTGCTACATACTTGATCCTGCTCTATTTTGTAATGTCATTAATGACATTCCTGTCGATAGCAGCTCAATTTTCAGATTGATAAGCTTTACTATCAAAGCAGCAGTAAATATTAGCGTTAGCGTAGATAGCAACTTGTGAGCTGACCTCACCAATTCACCAATTTAGAGCGGAGATGGCTAGTAGTTTCTTCTCTAATTTGCTGGTGGAACTCATCCCCAGCTCCATGCTTTCCATCTAACATTAATCATTAATCTGCAAAAATTTTAATGCAAGGTCAATCTCTATCTACTGTCTACCTGATAACTATTTCCTCTTCGCTCTCATTAGCAATGTTTATGTTCCTTATTCACCCACACCCTGCAACGCTTTCTGTTTTTGAGCCATTACCGTCTTCCTTCGGATGATTCCGATTAATATATATATATATATATATATATATATATATATATATATATATATATGGAAACGAAGCTTTTAAAGGTCAGGGTGATAATTTTAATCTCATTAGAACCGATATCACGGTTCCAATTCATCAGACTGCGCATTAAGATACAAATAATTGGATAAATTTATTGCCAGACAGAAAAAGAATAATTTAAGCATAAAGTAGGTTTCAAATTGGCGGAAGGGAGAGAGAAAAAAAAGATATCTATTAGAAAGAAATAAGTCAATGGAGAGAGGGAAAGACGAAATATATGTAATCAAAACCGGGAAGGAAAGAAAAACAATATATATCTGTTTAAACATATTTCGAAGAGGAAGTGAAGACAGAAGACATGTTGGCCCACTTATCACGTATGGAGTAGAAAATGATCGTCCAATCAGAATAGAGGAAAGTGATAAAAATAGCGAGAAAAATGAAGGAAAGGAAAGAGAAGGAAATACGGTTTGAGACCAATAATTTTCCGTATACACTTGAATGGATTTTCTGTCTAAAGCATGTAGTCAAACGACTTTGACACTTGAAATTTTGGGGGAATAATAATAATAATAATAATAATAATAATAATAATGGTAAAACATACGAAACCGTCTAAATTGAGAAGAAAAATATGCAATAATATACTTACATAAACCAAAGAATCTCCATATATCTGAAAACATGTAGACACACATATAAATGCCGGATATAAATGGCACCATAATCAGAAATTTTATAATTTTAAACATAATATAGATTAAATTTAAATTTTAAAATGGGTAATTTTTAGTTTCTAATTTTATCGTATAATTAATTATTCCTGAGTTAGAATAAATTCTATTTTAGACTGACCCCAACATTATAGCATTAAGTAATTATTATAACTTTAGTTCTTTTTCAAGTTTTTGCATTCTCGTATACTTGTATTTTGACTGGTCATTCCAGCGTATGTAACAGCGTTTCTCCTTAGCGAGGGTTGTTTGATTGATTTGAACCTTTCAACAGCTTTTATTCTACATTCCGCATCATCACTTGATAATTTTGTACCGATTTTATAACATATTTATGTTATAATTTTCGAATGAATAATTGTATATATATATATATATATATATATATATATATATATATATATATATATATATTTACTGTTATGGCAATTTACCAACGCACGCATTCACTCGCCCAGCTATAAATAGGAGTAGGTACGGATTTTGCAGAGGGAAATTCAGCAGTCAGCTCTGACAGTCGGACCGAACATTCTTGCTGTAACGGTCTCGTTTGTATTACTGTTTCTGTTAATATATTTGAATCAATTCCTCTCTTTGTGTCTTTATTTCTGTCAGACAGCAACATATACATGCATGCACACAGCCAAACACACACACACACACACACACACACACACACACACACACACACACACACACACACATATATATATATATATATATATATATATACTTAAATATATAGGAACACAAACATAAATATATATACATATGCATATACATACGTTTATAGAAACAAACACAGAGACACACACATATATATATATATATGTGTGTGTGTGTGTGTCCACAAAGATATAGATATACATGCACAAGCTAACACATCAAATCTCGCAAGAACATAGTGACCACATGCATTACTACGTTTTACTGATATATCAGACATCAGCGTTGATAACGACAAGCCTCCCTCATGATATTGTTTGAGACATTGAATCTATTTTTGTGTCTCTATTTGAAGATAAGTTCATTTCGATGGTTTATCAATTCTTCTGGGTATGATGCTCCATTGCAATTGTGAAGTGAAGCATTTATGAACAAAATTCCAATAATGTTTACATAGGTTGTTTGTTGTTTTAAGGATTTGTTTTGAAGGAATGACAGTGTTTATATAGACTTTGTTTCCATCATCCCGCAGTGATTCCAATATAAACCTTTTTCAGTTTACTATTTTCTTTGGGAAAGACAGTTACTTTTATTCCACATGTCCTTCCTACTGGATATTCAGTTTTTAGCCTAAAATTACTGGTAAGGTTATTCCCTTGTAATTGACAACTATGAATTTTTTAGAAAACTATTATTGTGGGAATGTATAATTTTTTCCACATGAACACATGAGTAAATTATTTTAAACATTTTTCTATTGAACATTTTCTTAAATGGATTACTATTACTAAAGTGTTTATCTATTAAATTGTGGAATATTTTATGAATATTAATAATTAGGTAAATTGAAGAACGATGGTTTGAACGTTATGATCATCCTTTTATTATTCTTAGATTTATTGGATGTATTGTCTTTCAAATGTTCTTGATAATTTAATATATATATATTCGATTCTCACCACGGTTGATTAGTAAGGAATTAGACTTCCTGATGTTATCGGTTTGGAGCGGACGATCCCAGCGTGCGACACATTTGGAAAGTGCCTGAAAACCATACCACGGTTTGACCATTTTCTTGTGACTGAAATTACGTAGACGGAACCCTTGTGGGCCGTCGATAACTGTGCTAGCACGAAGTCACAAGTCATCGTGACAGAGGGTGTGAGTTTGCTGCCTTGTTCAGATTGTTGATAACACTAGATAACACGCTCTTTCTCCCAGAAACTGTAACTAAGGTCTTCTCCGCATAATTGCAGTATAAACCACAGGGGGTGTTGAACAAACACAAATGTGCCTGAGCGTGCATTTGCAATAGGCGAGCATCCTCGAATAAGTGTGCCCATATATATATATATATATATATATATATATATATATATATATATATATATATATACAGAGAGAGAGAGAGAGAGATTAAGGAAGAAAAGAGACAGGGAGAGAGAGTTTCTTGTGATACTCTTTTAAACTTTGCTGTGAAAAAATGAAAAATTCTAAAAATCAAAGCCCAACTTGAAAATGTAATACTTTCAATATGTTTTATTGTAGTCATCTGATTTATTCTAAAAACTATCGTCTGAAATTATTATGCAAGTCCACTTTGCTTTTCAATAACATAGCCATCTAGAATTCACCAAGACATTGGAAAGCAAATGAATTGGGCGCATTTATATTTCTTCGTGTTCACAGCTATTATTATCCATTATCTTTTGCCTTTTATTAATGACTTGACTACAACAGACTCAATTTCCGATATGGCGGTTTAATTGCATCCAAGAGGTCAGATATGCAGACATATTGTTTGCCATCTCAACACTACATATTCGATAGCATTCAGTACGGGATTGATGGCGGCCGTTCTATTATCTTCTTTTAAAAAAAATATTGATGACCAAGTAACCCGTTTTCTAACCTTAGATATATAAGAAAGAGTTTCGCCATACACACTCCCTGTTGAAACTTCATGTTTGGAACATGTACACTTCAAAGAAACACTTATCCTTAAAATAGAATTTTTTCGCATAGTTCAGTTTGGCGCCGATTTTGAATAGCCCATTCAAAATTTGGTTGTGAATTCCTGTCCAAATTACCATATTGCACGTTTATTGCAATCTCCTTCTAGCCTTAATCAACTCTAAACTACATAAAATCCTTCCTTTGTTTTATCCAGTTCTATCAAGTGTCAATTGAGATTGTTCTGTAAAAATGATGTTAGACAAGATAATTATCGTCTACTTAAATTTTCAGATGTTTGTTTTATTCAGAAGCGAGTGAACAGATTACTTGGCAATTCCCAATTTCTCATATATTTTATATATATAGTTTATCTCGTGTCTCTTACAATCCTACCCTATCCAAAAACGTGTGCTTTTGTTAGAAGTGATTCCAGTACTTTCAAATAATATTCGTTAAATAATATTCATTAAATAATATTCGTTAAATGGAGATACACATTCTGTTAATAAAAGATTGAAATAGAATATTTTAAACTGAAATATTGTTTCAGTCTTTTTTAATTTCATATGATTTGCATAACGTAAGTCAGGCTATCTATTTAACTATTTATAGATAGATATTTATCTATGCATGTGTGTGTATAGTGTTGGTATGCATGGGTGTACAAGATGATGTGTAGTTTTGATGAGAGTGTCAATGCAAACACAATTCTCTCTTTCGCCAGGATTACATACAGTTTTGAATTTTGACTTGATATATTCTATACTAGTTGCCAAACAGAACCAACTAAAGAGCCTAGTGTGTCTTACTATGTAACCCATAGAGGAAATGAAGAGATAGATTTATACATTTTAAGCGCAATTGAAATTAACGGACTTGAATGGAATTCGAACCCGTCTCTCCGATTTATCATTCCGATCCACTATCCTTAAGACCACGTGGGTATAGTAATGTTCCGGGTTATAATCCCAAAATACAGATAAAGTAATATAGAAACTGCTGTTTTATATTGGATTTTATTTAACTGATTAATTTGCAAATTTCTGTCGGCCATGATTAACAACTTGCAACGAACGACTATATTGAGCGGCCATTGCAAATATTTGATGTCACGTGTAGACATTTTTTTATATAACGGTAGACATAAAAGTCTCTCGGGAGTTTTGTTAGGTGACTATTGACTATCAGCACAACTTTAGATATCATTCGAAAATTAATTGAACTTTTCCCGACTACCGATCTACATAGAAAAGCAAGTTTTTATCAAGAAGGTAATCAATCAGACAAATCCATTAGTTAAAATATAATGTACAAGCTATTCGCAAAGCCAGAAGTATTCAGAATGTCCTGAACGCAGATAACAAGGAAACAATAAAGTATAAAATTAGTTATCCTTGCTGCTATGTAGGACAATGTACCCAGGCAGCTTGAAGCTCAGATAGTTGAAAACTGTCCATCATTATCTCCAGGGGCCTTATTCATTTTTTATCAAAATATTAAGGTCTGACATGATCAAGGTCGTATATATTGGTAAAACAAATTCGAGAGATTTCTGGAGAAAGGGTAAATATGACATCTAAAATATTATTCCAGCAGTAATCATTGAAATGAAGCCGCCTTTATTTTCTGTTAGGTATGGGCGCATTACATAATATTGAAAGAATATTGAATAATGGTATGCATTGCGAAATATTGGAATATTGCTGGATTTTTCAGCGTAAAATGAAAAATCCAACAAGATAATGGATCCAGGACTACATGTGTGTAAGCTTAAGTGTTGTTTCATCTCAAAATAGGAAGTGTTTTAATTTATGAGTGCGTATAATAAACTTAAACTTCGTGTTCATCTTAGCAATCTTCAAACTTTGATTGAAACCGACAGATTTTCAAAAGTGGCTGATAAAATGTAAGTTAATTTGTGTAATATTTCTTTTCACATTAGCCCAAATATCTGTCAAACGTCATATCAAATAATGTATAAGACATTAAACAGTAAATGATTTTATTGATATAAGTCCAAAGTAGTATGTGTTAGTTTCCATTGTATCTATCAATGATCGTTTGTTTTATAGCATATGTATTCAAAATATATTTGGCATATACTATGTACGAACCATTTGCAGCGCATATTGAGCCCTTCGAAGTGGTTAGGAAGTTTGACTCTCTGTATCAATTATGACTGAATAATCAGTCCGATCTTCACTAGGTGTCCCATACTTTCGGCATTATGCCACATCTAAACAACGGTTCGTAAATTACAAGGGCACCAAGAAAAGGGCACTTCAATGTGGTGTAATGTTTACCAAGCGCGATAAATTAGGACGGAGCAGTGAGTTCGATCCTCATTGGGTACTCCATACTTTAGGTATTGAGACACATCTAAGATTCATTTACAAAATTACTCAGGCACTTCGAAGATGTGTAATGGTTAGCAAGCTTCTCTTGCTAGATCAATCACGACTGAGTAGTGAGTTTTATCCGTACAACGTGCTCCGCGTTTTCGGCCTTGTGCCAGATTTAAATTACGCTTAGAAAATCATTTAGGGCACATCGAAGTATTGTAATGGTTAGCAGGCTCATCTCCCTAGATCAATTACGACTGAATAGGATGTTCGATCCTCACTGGATGCCCCAGACTTTTGGCCTTCCGCCACCTCTAAGCTAGGTTTCGAAAATCACCATATTGGACACAAGTTATACTTTAGTAAAAAATAAAAGATATTTTTTTTTATCTTAGAAATTCCATGTCTTTGTATATTCTCTGTGTCTTTGTATATTTTAATTTCCATACACATTTTTTCTTAAAAGGAACAATATGCTGTAGAATTAATAGGTTGTTTCGGATTTAGTTACAAAAGACATTTCTCTCTATGTGAAGATCAAATTCAACTGAATTTGCGAGGTTTTGCGGCAAAAGAAAATGACACTTCGTGTGATAATTTTTTTCGTAAGTATTCCTTGTGACTAAAGTGAATAATTTCAAAGTTAGGAGAAATTTCTTCGGATCATTTCCGTCTTGTTTACTTTGCAGCGTGTCTTTCAAATTAATTCTTTCCATAGCTTAAGTGATATTTTGTTTATTTTTAAAACAAATAGAACATTATCTTGCTACCATCAATAACAACGCGTTTTAAACAGATTTCAAACAAAATAATTGATTGTGAAACTGAGGGGAAATTTCACATAACGGTGAAAATGTCTTCCTGCAAATCACATTGAAAACGCCGGTTCTGTTTCGATTAGCAAAGTTACGAAACATTGAAAACGGTCACTAGAGCGGGGGACAACTTGGACACAACGGGTACTCGAATTGATCTCCCACAGTCAAAAATAAGAGTTACTGGATTTTATTTTAGAGTAACTGTGCACTATAAGCAAATAGAACATTGCTTGACAGTGAAACAGTTCGTAGACGATCGGTCAAAGTACATTGGATCTGACGATCGATTATCATGCAGAGCGGGAGGCAGGTACGAATCCTGTCGGAGGGGTATATTTACTTTATTAACTTTATTGAATTGCAGAGGCCAGTAAACGGAATAAACACTATTAAAAAAGACAGAACGTCTACTGAAATATTGTTATCTATTAATAGAAAAATTTGAAATAATATATATATATATATATAGAGAGAGAGAGAGAGAGTGTGTCATCCGCAGAAATACTGTTTTTCAGCTCATCAGTGTGGCTAGAGATCCGACTGCCTCAAGCCGGTATCGAAACCCAAATGATTTCAGATTTCCCCCTAAACCATTACCGCACGCCAGGGATAAAGGTGAATTTAGACATATTTAATTGTAGACAAAAAAGCCATTGACCAGAGAACTAGTTTCGTCTTAACGAAGAGTCTTTGGTCAGCCGCAGTAATAGTCACTGTTTACAAATTCCCTTTTTTCCCCGAAGAGCTCAACCGAAATAATTTTTTCAGGAGAATGTATATATATTGTTATCCACAGATCGAATTGTATGATATGTTTATGGATTAAATACTCAATATCAAGGATAAAGCGCATTTAAATAAAAAAAATGTAGGTACAGTCTGTTTAAATCTTAAACTTGTTACATGGCGTGAAGATTGCGTTTAAGTATGAAACACACTGTATCTCCAGGCTGGTTTTGATCATAATATCCAATTTTTCTTTAAGTTTTCTCCAGTAATGAGGATGGTAGGCGAGAAAGAAAAATAATAAAAAACAGAACGTATACTAAACACGGTTACTCACTAAAGATAATAATTGAAATAATATATATATATATATATATATATATATATATATATATATATATATATATATATATGGAAAAAAACAAACAAAAATCCTAATATGCAATTATGCTGTTTTAATGTTAATATAATGAAAACGTCGGACGTTTCGGTCTAGTAGACCATCTTCAGGATATATTCATAAAACATAATTAACATTAGACTATATTTAATTCAACATGAAAAGACGATGGACATAAGAGTAAGACTAATCAAAACAGACAACTGAAATTTTTCAAGATCAGCGTTCCGTTTCAATATGTCACGTCGGCGTCACGTCGGCGATGTTGTGAAAACGTATTCCTAAAATATAGTATTTTGAATGAAAAATGAAAAGAATTTTATTTTAATCTAAGACTTATATGTACGTTTTTCGAGCATTAATCTTGCTAGAAGAGGGGAAATATTAAAAAAGCCAGGTCTAGTATTCACCGTGCGTGAATAACATTAAAACAACATAATTGCATATTGGGATTTTTGTTTGTTTTAATCCGTATATTTTTCTTTATACTGTAGGATCTATATATATATATATATATATATATATATATATATATATATATATATATATATATATATATATATATATATTCAATTATTAAAGATCACATGATACATTATAAAAATATCTTAATCAATGACCTAGTCTGTCATATTTATTTAAATGTTTCTGCATCTTGAGGCGATGGTGGTCAATTGATTTCCTAATTGTAAGGTTTGCAACAATTATAACAACATGTGTAACTTTCGTCAACAAGAGAAATTAGCTATAATAAAATTTCCACACCAAAATTACTTTTAAAGCAGAGATCTCTGTATACATACTAAAACTTTCGTTTTGAGTTCATTTGAAGTCGGGCAAAATGAATATATGTATATTTCAGTTGATCCCCAATCGCTAAATTTCCAATTCATTCATTTCCTCATCCTCCTCCTCCTCAACTTGTATCAGACCTCATGTTGGTCGCTTATTTATTTATATTCTTTTAAATCTAGCGTTCATTAAAAAAATAAAAATAAAACGTAAGTAAATCAATTGAATGAAATCGCCTGAATATACCAAATGGTTGAAACCAAGGTAGCGGAATCATTTGATTTCATAATTGTCTATACTTAAAGCACTATATGGTAAATTTTTATCTTTTTTATCTGTATTGGGCACTTTTCTAATACTACTAACTCCTGATTTAGTTCAACTCTGGTCATTAACTACTTTATTTTATATATATATATACACACACAGTGGTGGATAGATAGATAGATAGATAGATAGATAGATAGATAGATAGATAGATAGATAGATAGATAGATTCTCTTCTGTTAAATATATACCATTTTATAAGATCCTGCAAACACGTCTCAAAATTCCTTCAGTAAAATAAATATTTAAAAGCCGAAAGTTAAGTTTGCGGATGTGAATTCATATTTTACTTACGGTTTTACGTTAATCTGCATTTCTCTAATTAAACCGAAGCCGTTAAAATTGTCTTTCATCAATTAGTATTGATCAAATGCTGTGAATTGTGCAGTTGAATCAACAATTCATTATCGTCATTGATTGGAATGTTATGCAAAGCAGATTTTCTAAAACTGACAAATCTTTGAAATTATTGATTTTCTGTTTATTTTTTTTTATTTTGTATCTTTTGCTCCTTTTTATTATTCTCCAAAATATTTAATCAACTCTTGATGTTCAATATTCGTTTGATGTTACGTTCGTAATATTTACTATACACAAATGTCAATAAACCAAAAATACATAAAATAAATCACTTTTAAAATTCTTACATAATTGAAGTAAATCTCAAATAAACAACTGGATATGTATGTTTGAAAAGGGATGATGTATATTCTGGGCTCGACCAACGATCCAAGGGAAAACTGCCTTTCTTCCACAGGATTATCGTTGATATTCAAAAGCCATGCGTGATAGAAATCATATTCTTTCATGAGCACTGACATCTTAGTTTTCGTATCTATGGTTATTCGTTATCTCCAGGGTGCTCGGTAAGCCTTGTCACGTTTACCAAAAAGCAATGAGAAAAATAGAACAAGTAATTGAGTAATATAAAGTACATATACTAGATTCAGTATATTCACTTTCATTTATGATGTAACATATCGAGAAGGTCTGTATGACCACCATCATTTTTGTGTCAGCCATTTGAAATCGGAAATGCTATATACCGGTGACAAGACTTTCGGACCGGACGTAATTATTGTATATTGTCCAAAATTAAATGCACATGTGATTACATACATATACAGAGCATATCTATTCTGTATAATCACTATCAGCGCATCATTGGTGTTGTCGGCATGAGTGTTGGCGTCCTTCTCAAAGCGCCCCGGATGTAATAGTTTAAAGCGTTTAAATTATGAGATTATATCGGAACAAACGTTAGGTGTAACATGATCATGGGAATGTTCGGTCAGCCCGTTCTGGTTCTTGCCGGCTGTATAAGAGAGAGTGTAATTTTGCTGGTACGCGTAGTATCTCCCACTTCAAAGTTAATTTCTCGGTACAGGGCTTGAGAATTCTTTAAAATCTCTATGTATGCGAAGTCATTGACTCTACAGCCACGGAGGGAAACGTTTGGAAGCATGTGTAGGCATGTTTGCTCATCAACGATAAGACTGTAACAGTGGGGATTTAGGTGTGACTGGTAAATAGCCCTCTGCTATTCTACCTGAACAGAGATTCTTCTCATCTGAGAAAAAAAAAAAAAACAGATTTGTTGGACTTAAAAGAGATGTTCGCCATATTCTAAGATTTCACTTATTTTCCCCCAGGTACTATTTTTAATTTTAACATAGGATTTGTATTTGATGTCTTTGCGCAACATATATCTGATTTGGGGCGACGAAATTTTATGTGGATTGGCAACAACGGCCACATTGAACTTTTTCTATGATCTTCAATAATACTCCGGGCTTGCTGCACGAACTCGGCCTTCCTTACAGTAATTGTCGATAACGTTTTTTTTATTGCTATTGAAGACACATGCTTTGAAAGTCAACTTTATCAGTTTCCTTATGTTAGACACTAATGCCCTAGCGATATATAAGATTATTATAATATGTAAATATGTACGTTTGACAACTAAAGCAATGAGGATGATATGGACTTACATCCTCTGCATTAGAGTTGAAATTTCCACGGCTGGCTTGAAAATATGATCAAGATTTAAGTCGTAGTTGGTCACATGACTCTAATTATGTATACTGAAATCACTGACGCAGCGAACAGAGACCTGTTGCCAGAAAAAGGAAGATAAATGAAGACATAACGTCACCATCAATGGTGACCACTCCAAACTCGTTCGTAATGACCATTAGACTCATCCAACTCTTTGCAAATCCTCCGTACTCTTCTCCGATTGACACCCAAACACTCTGAAGTATTCGTATTGGAGCTTCCGTTGCAAATGACACGCAGTCCATCATGCAGGTTCCCGATTTCTAGCGACGTGAATTGCGTTATGGTGTTCCCTTTCTCAAAGACAGTGTCCAACATAGCTTCTATTTTGTCCAGTCGACAAAATCATAAAAAACGGGCATGCCCAAAATTAAAAATAAAATACACCCCCTGTTTGTGTGCGTGTATATATGATAGTTTATTTCTATATGAGTCTGTGTTTATATAGATACATCTCTATATGTTTGTATAGATTTATATATATATATACTTGTATATAACTTCATCTGATTTTTTTATATATATATATATATATATATATATATATATATATATATATATATATATATATAATGTAAAATATTCGCATTTTCAGTAATCTATACCCCTTACATTAATATTAAATATCTGAAATTTGTTCTAGTTTTGCTATATTTTTTAATCATTTTACCCCAAGAAAGACTATAATACAAGTGCGACTCAAGTGGTTACTGGGAAGCAAACAGAAATGAAAGTTATATTTTTTACATCAATGCAGGCTGACATGACTAAACAATTCAGAGTTGATTAGATTCATTAGTACTTTTCTTAAAAAGAAGTAAATGCTTAACAGGGCGACAGTTTGACTCATCAAATGATTCATCAGATTTCTTAGAGACATGACCTACAGAGATGGATCTCCGATAAGCAACAAGAAACAAGCTATATGTTGTAGGGTTTGGGGAGAAAAGGAGTAATTTAAGGATTACATTTCCTTAGGACAGTTGGTTTAGCCGTAATGTTAGTCTTGTAGGCTATAGCATCATAATAGTCACATATGAAAGAAAGAGTAGAATGCAGTTTTAGTAGCTATTTCTCTGATGCCAAGAAAATTTTAATGCCAGCGGAAAATCAAGATTGCAACAACGCAACAACATTTTATTTCACACCAAGCAAGGAGGGAGTGCCACTAGCACGCAAGGGGTTACAACGAGGTATAGCAAGAGATAAGAGGCGTGTTTGAGGAAAGGAAAAAAGAGAAGGATGGAGAACAAGATCAAGGCATCAGACGATGTCGATTGACATTACATTTGAATATTTTACGCTTGTAGTTATCAGCGAAGCAAGTAAGACAAGTTCAAGAGACGAGAAGTGCGAGATAAGAAGCTGTTGGAGTAGAAGTAACGGCTACATTTAACCGTTTCGACAGTGAAAATGCCGGACCGAGACCGAGATTGCCAAACTAGGAGCACACTTAAGTTCATGCAGATCGGGGACCCGCCAATGTAGCTCATCGCAGCAGTTGCTATGAAAATCCTTGTAGACAAGACAGAGGGAAGCAACGGTACGTCCGTGAGAAAGTGACTGTAGACGAGATGCCAGATCAGGAACCATCACATTTCAACTGCGTCTCTGGATTCTCTTGAGGACCTTGAGACGAACAGTGGAGGGTCCAGACCATATATGGCAGCAGTATTCCATGCAAGAACGAATGGTCGATCTATAGATTTGAAGGATAGTTTAAGGCGAGAAAAAATTTCTGGCGCGAAACAGATGCAGTAGATGATGCTATTGATTCAGTGTGTTTGTTACATCTCATGTCAGTAGACAGCGTGGTGTGTTCATAAATGTATATATCGGTAAGCTATGCCAGCGTTCAAATCTTAGATTCTATGTGGGCACTGGAATAGTTCCTGAGGTAGGGTAGATACAAACATAATGATTGGTTACATTTTGCTGGTATTTCGATGAATATCTAAAATACTAAAATCCACCACACGTTTGAAGTTCGATTACATGATACATTTGGGAAAAAAGAAAAAAATAGATCGACAAGGAAATCAAAAGCTTTTACGCCGCAGCCTACCATTCCGGATTTTCAAAAGATTTAGATTTATTAAGTTGGAGTCTCTTATTCGATATATCTCTATATCTTTGAGAAAATGTATTATGATTCTTGACAATATTTACATTATTCTGACTGTTATCATCACCTTAATTGCCATATTCACAGCGTTACGGGCGTTGTAGGTTCCAGACATCTTCTGGTTAATGGATTCTCGAACTGAACCCATTATTTCGTCCACCGGGGTAGATTGTTGGTCATATCCACTGACTAAACCCTAAAAAGTTGTGAGTTCAATACCAGGCTACAGCAGTTTTGAAAAAAAAATTGACAGATGAGTCAAAGGGAAATAATTGAGACATCCGAAAGATGCATACCACCTGGAACTAGAACTCTCTACCCCGGTGGAAGAAATTGAAATCACCTGAAGGGGCTGATGCGTACAACGACCGAAAATGCTTTTTTAGGGCATTTCACATTTGTTATATCTACACTTGAAAATAAGTTCATTTGTTTGATTCAGCATTTTTATATTTAATTATTATAACATTTCTTGCACGCGTAGATTGCATCTTCCCCAGTAGTTGTTGGGAGTTTGAGACTGACAGATGATATCCCATTTAATTTGTGGGGTGAAGACTCTATCTTTAAGTTTCCAATAATCTTTACATGGAGCTCTTTGGTCTCTTAACGAAGTATTCCAGAAGAAATGCCGGTGATTGTACAGTCTCTGTTTCCATTTACCAACGTATATCCTTATGTATGCATTTCATCATTAATATTTTCTTTTGGAGAAATGGTAGCTTTGTATACAACATTTTGGAATTACAGATACATCAAACTGGACAGATGTTACCGGTTCTCCAATTATGAGAAGACTTGTTTTTCTGGTGTATTGCCGTCATATAATGTTATATATAATAATATTTAGTTGGAAAAATTGTTACTAAAACTTTTTGTATTGACAATATTATGATATTAAAATCCTCTTGTAGATTCGTGGCAAAAGGAACGTAATTCTTCAAAAGGATACAAAGAATGGCATTGATGGAACGAGTGAGCAACATGAATGTC